AAGAACCTTCTTCTTTGACTTTATCGGGCCAATATCCAATTGGTTGTCGCCAGTGCGACTGCTAGGGCACGGATGCCAGTATAAACAAGTTACAACAGTCAGGAACGGTAGGACCCACAAAAAGGATCTACTGCTGCATGCACCGTTTTGTGACACAAACACGTGAGCCACATTGTTCTCGCGCTCTAAGCTCAGAGCGCCCGAATCCTGAAGGACATGTGCGCCGTGAACGAGAAGACAGCAAGCTTGCATTCCGAGCATTTCACCCAGAAGAATGCAAATGCTATCAGGAAGGCAACAATAAACGCATTTGGAGAGATTGACTCGAGTCTGCAACCGATCATGTTGTCCAAGCACTCAAAGTACATCGATCACTGGCTGAAAAAGATGGAACCCAAAGACCGGACCGCTCGCCTCTACTTGATCGAGGGCATGGTGATCGAGGCCCAGCTGGGTCGAAAGGAGCTGGAGAGACAGGGTGACATCATTGGACCCCTGGATTACATCCCTTCGGATCTCTTTTTCCCTCCCCGCCCTTTGCGCGTCCAACAGGCTCTCAGCGTCGTCGGAATTTGAGGCAAGGCTCGGCTCAAAGCAGTGAGCAGACATTGTTGCGAGTGTTTTTCCCGGGCGCCGTATTGCCCGAACGGGCAATTGTGGTGTCACGCACCGACAAAAATTGCCTCCAGGCGGTCGCTCACAATTCTCCGTAGGAGATACGAGGACCGCTGAGTATTCCCTGACACTGGTTGACAAGTTAAAATCTTAGAATGCCGTCATGGGCAACGCTGCCTTGTTTTGCTGACCACATGGCTCAGCTGATGCTTTACCAGCCAGAGACTGGTTTGCTACGGTTTGCTGCGGGTTTCATGAAAAGCTTTGCCCGTGAGAGAGCGCGGGACATGCCATACCACCTGGATTATGTGTTAGGGTGCTTTTTAGATTTGCGGGCATTCGGAGCACACCAAATTGCTGAGCAATCAGTCATAAACTTGAATAGAGAATCCTTCCAAATTCTTTAGTTTACTGGTTCTCCTTTTTGGCATCCTCTACACCCTTTGTCGCGCCCAGGCTGCAGCCGAACCTCCCGGACCGGGGCTCCGTGTTTGACTACGTGGTGGACCTCAAGGTTCCAGGCGCAGCGGTTTTTTGCGATACACGATTATGTTCTGCCCTGTGGACAACTATCCAGGCAGGCTCGGGAACTCACGGGAAATCTGCAACTCTCGCTTTTAGGGGATGCCCAATTCAAAGAAACGATGAACTCTCCTTGCGAGAACTGAGAGAGCTGTTTGCCGTCAGGAGATTGTCGCATGTGTAGGTGTGTGTGTGTGTGGGGTTGAGGGTCGATTGGCCTTGTAGAGGGTGGCTTCAGGCCACGCGTGATTTGTGAAGTCCATGAAACGGAATGTGGCAACAGCAATAGCAGAGGGTGATTTGGACACTGCGCCACACTGCTCCGCACTGCGTCCTTGGTTGGGTGTGTGCTGTTTAAATGGGTGGGCGCGAAGATGTGCACAGCTAGGTTGAAAGAGGAAACAGCAGCTCAAGAATCACGGCAGGGGATCATTTTTGCCGCGCACTCTGAGTCTAGCAACAACTCTTTTCCCCACACATAAACTGCTGGTGCGTGGGTGCGTGTCTTCTAAATGTTGATGTTGCGGCGAATATGTTGTACAACATGCTGATTGTTTTTGTTGCACGGCTTCGGCCGAGTTATTTTGACTTTGAACTGGTTCGTGCGAGTAGTTGATATGCCGGCTTCTTTTCCTGGCCAGGCTGGACAACTTGGATGGAGACAGTAGAGTCTCAGAACATCGCCAACGGTGCACAGGCCAGCACCTCACCCGAGCCTGCATAATATTGAATAATATATATATATATATATATATTGATAATACATATATATATATATGTATACATATGCATACATTTATACATACATATGAATATATAAATATAATATAACATACTATAATATAATATAATATAATATATGCATATGCATATGCATATATATATATACACACATGTATGTGGGTGCGTACTGCTTGCAGGTTCAGAATATCATCGTGCAAACCGTGGACAATGCAGGGGCCAAAGTTGGGCCCGCCCACTGGGCAGCTGTTGGCCGCAGTTCTTGAAATGCGTGCATGTCTACAAGGTGTTCCGCAACGATGGGAGGACATGAGCATAGATTTGTCAGTGCTTGCTTCAAATTTGTCAGCTGCAATGTCGCCTTCTGGATATATATATATATATATACATATAGATATATTTTTGGGTAGTGCCTCAGGTTCGGTATCTCCATGTCTTGGAGCATTGCATCTTGGCAGCATTTCGATGCCGCATGATGCCGCACTACTTGCGGTATGTTCATTGTAAGGTCCTTTGGCTTTTGCAGAGACACACTTGACAGTTTTGAGCTGATGTTGTCTTTGCTTTTGCATTGCCTAAGCTGCATTCGCAGAAATTGAATTCACACAGCACTGAGTCACACCCAAGAGTTCTGGACCAAGCGCGTGCCTCGCTGCTACCTGCTCTCTTTTTTGGCTGAATGTGTGCGTCGACGATCCACATGTGCACCGCTGGTATGAAATCGTGAATGATGGCCAGCCTTCATAAGGGTTCAACATGGCTATAGGTTTATGTTGTGACGTGTAAATCGGCCTTAGATTGGTAGTGGCTGCCACTGGATACTCCAACTTGTAAAGTGAGGGTGAACTGATATTGACAATAGTGATGCCACGGGCGGTGGTTGAACATGGGCAGGTCATAGCATGGGATGGTGGGACTGCATCAGATTTGCAGCCCTGCCGAATCGTACAGCCTTGTGTTTTGCCTCTGTTCCCTAAAGAACTTTTGACGATTGTCAGGAGCCCATGGGGAATGGCCTTTGGAAAGGTATCCAGCATCGCATCAAGCTTCTCTTCTGTGGTCCTACGGGTACGGGTCGGCAGCTTAGTGGTGCCAATCATCCGTGGGTCGAGGCGCTGTTTTTTGTTTTTTCTTGCCTTTTGAAAATGAGCGCAGAGCCGGTGCACATGCATGGGATGCTAATTGGGTGTGGGTCCAAACTAACCACCAGGAATTGGACCGCAGTTTTTAGTCCATGTTTCCATTTACCAAGTCTTGGGTACCTATTTTTGACCCACAGCCAATTGATGAGGCCTGAGGGGAGGCAGAGGAGTTTCAATACGAAAGGGCGTACCGAATCAGAGGTGTCGTGTTTCTTTTGATAAGACGATTGGGAGTTCAACTCAGTTGACCCAAGATCGCCGTGCTGCTCAAGGGCAAAGAGAACTGGGCATCACAGCTTCTTCAATCCATGAATCTTTGGTGTATGCTTGCGGGTTGGAAAATGCGGTTGCAGCCAAGGACCCATGACAACCCTGGCAAGTGCTTGGCATGTAGAGAGTTCTAGACAATGACTTTTCCACTGAGAGATTTTGCGAGTTTGTCCAACAATGCCTTCACAGAGTGAAACCATAAATCAAAGCTGCATCAAGACCTCGGCAGTCAGTTCACAGGTTGGTCATCTTGGGTATGTTTGGCAGGTACCGCTTTCGAGGTGATGTCATGCCATTGCGCTGGCTCAACCTGAAGCAATGAGCCGGGCCACTGCACTGATGGGTTGTATCTGGTTGGCCCTTGTCTTGAAGGTTTCCAGGCAGTCACCGGGCCCGACATCCAAGGCTCGGTTGGCTCGTTTGAGCCCCGTGAATCCATCAAGGCCCGAAAGTCTGAACCAGCCCGCCGGCCTGGGACGGCAGTCAGGCCGTCTGGGTTGTCCAAAATCCATGACTCCTTGTGGAAAGTGTTGTCCCCTGCTGTCCCACGGATTGCAGATTCGGGATCTATTCTGAACGACCCCGAATTGTGGTTGCCTATGCTTGCCTCGTTAGTGATATACCGTGACATACCCAGCCGCTGCAACTGATGTTGGCTGAGCCCAGGCAAAACCGTCTACATGCAGCAGGCGCATTCGGCTGACGCCTTCTCCGGGAAAATGGCAAGGGATGCCGTGGAAAGGGATGCCGTGGAAAGGGATGCCGTGGCTGTACACCGGTGGGTGACAAAGGTGTTTATTGAGCGTCATAAGTACCCCTGCTTTCAACCACATCTTAGCGCGTGTTGTAGCGCAGCAGCAAAACCTGGCACGTTGCATGCGAGCTGACAGCATCTTGCCCCATGTCCTTCCTGGGCCCGAGGACTTCTTTTTTGGCGCCACTTGGCCTTTGGGGTCGCCTGGATTTGGAAGGGAAGCCAAAAGGAAGCCACCCATTTTGCAAAAACAAGCCGTGGCCCACGCCTCCGGCTCCATGGCTTCGCACACGCGAGGCGCTGATGGGCATGCCCAAGGAAACCCACATGTCGATTCAGATCGGCTTCTCTGCCCAGACGAAGTGCTCGCAGACGCAGGAGGGAAAGCCCCACTGGGTGTGGTCAACAAGTGCTTGGTACTGCAAGGATCCGTTAGATAAGCAAGCAAGTAGTGTTTTGTTTGTTCTTTTTTACTTCGGTGAAGTGAGGACTTGATCGACGCCAAGCTGGAGCGTCGCCGCAAGGGCGTCTACGGGCCGCCGATGGGCAGCAGCCCGAGGGGTGGGAAGATGAGAATGCGTCACGCCGTTTTCGACAAATCGGTTTCAGTCTTGACGCTTCTGCCAATTTGGGCGTTTACGGCACTGGTGGCTCAGCAATTTGTTGGGAGCCGTCCCTTTGCACCGCCCCTTCCGAGTGATATCAATCCCTTGAAGTGGCCTTTCCAACCCCAGAGTCCTCGAGCCGTGGCTGAGTGAGCTCTTTGTTTCGAGACACAGGTCGCATGTGCGTGGTGATGGTAGACGACCTCAACATGCCGGTGAAGGACTTGCGCGGGGAGTTTGGCCGCACGCACTCTCGCATGAAAAACAGCTGCGTCTAGCAGTGTAGCGTTGCCATCACAACACTTGCGCCAAGTGCAACCTGACCAGTTGAGCAGCTGCAAGGGTGCAGTACTGCAGGCAAGGGATGACCATGTGAGGGCAAGAAGGAGGCTTATTGGCACTTGATGATTGAGGCCAATGGATGACGAGTCCATTAATTTTTAGCGCCGTACCAGAACTTGCATGTTTGGGGCTCAGTGATTTGTGAGTTTCTTCAGAAACCCTGGCACTGGTTTAGACCGAGATGTTGGTTTGCAATGCGCTTGACCTTTGTGTTGGAGACGGACCACAAGCATGTAGTATAGCCCGGGCTTGAACAGCTGTCATGGCCATTCGATGAGTCATTGTCCTTTTCACGTGAAATCAGAGGCTGCTTTGGCTATGTCTCAAAATGCGGGTCGCCTCCTTTTGGTTTCACAGTGCAACAGGCTTCCTTTTGGTTTCCATTTGAACATCCAAATCGGGGCTAGCCGGGCGAGCCCCGAGCCCTTCAGGAGAAGTATGGCGCCATGCCACCCATCGAGATCCTGCGACAGAGCATGGCCTTTGGCCCCAAGTCTCCGGGGTTTTCGGGATGCACTGGGGTGCTCCGAACCCCTCAAAATGAGGTTGCTCTAAAGGGAGATTAGCATCCCCTTGAAAACGGAATGTGGGGCTTTTGGAAAGAGTTTTGAGGGGCCTTGGGGAAAGCAAAAAGAGAGAAACCGGAGACGTTTTGGCGATTCACTTATCCGGAGAAAAAGCCAAATGGCTCGTGTCATGTTGGTATCCTCGTCACGGGCGGCCCGTAGGTCAAAAAATCCTCAAAGACTATTTCTCGCGCAAACAATCCTTGGAGCATCAGCTTCTTGTGCAGCTTCCAGGGGCAATGATTTTACAACTCACAGCAAATCAAGAGGCATCCAAGAGAGAGCCCTCATTTGGTGACCACTCACCGGCTTCCTTGACGCTTTTAGGTTGTTGTCATTCCCGCAAGGCTTTGTTTTTTACCCTTGACAAGGCAATTGAAGCGATGGCTACAGTACTAAGCCAGCGTTTGTCCGCTTCTCCAGGCCGCCGCCCATGCTTGCCCTGGAAGATCTGGTAGTGCGAACATCAAGTTTCTGAAGTTGTAGCACTTCTCTGCTAAATTGGCACCTGTCCAAGTTTTCTTCAGTCCTGAGTTTGAGGCTTGTTTGTTTTTTGTGCATGTGGGTGTATAAATATATGTGTCCAGTGTGCAATTCGAGGAGTCGGCAAGCCTCAGCTGAGGATTCCACTGCCTATGGGCCCACAGGCGGCTGGTTTGACCGCAAGGACTTGGCAGCTTTGTCGGCATTCTGGTCAAGTCCCACGTCACCCGCTGACGGAAAAGCTGCTTCCATTCCATGGGCACCAGAGTGCTAACCTCTCAGTCTTTGAGCATGCTGCCAAAAATTTGAATGAAGCAGGCGAAATTGCCTGATGGCTTTGAATTTAACAACCTGCCACTTCAGCTTTTATGTCTGAACTTCAGGGCTGAGCGTGCATGGCATCCGAAGCCATCGCTGTTGCGTCAGGATCCCACGCATCCCTTCCGCAGCATCATTGACGTGCCCAGGATGCGATTTGAAGCGCTGTCGTGGTGCGAAGACAGCTATTTACGCAGTATGCACGTATGCACTTCCAAGGTTCGCCAACAGTGAAATACATGTGAGACCGGAAATACTTCCCAAACATGTTCAAACGGACATCACCATTTGAAGAAGATCACGAGCAGTGCATGTGTCTTCCTGGTCGTGTGCTGCCGTTTCAGAAACGGCCCTCCGGGCCTTGAGGTTTTTGCCATGCGCAGAGCGTTTTTGTTCGTGGAAGGATCAAGCTGTGCTTTGTGCCGGGGGTTGGGTGGGGCAAAGTATGGTTTAAACACCACCTTCACAAGAAATCATCATAACCAATGGTTTAAAGATGTTTAAACCAATGGGTGGCCCCACCCTAGTGGCTTTCGTTGGTTTTTGTTTCCAGCGGTTTGGACGGACTCAGGTGGTTTACTTTGCGGCTATGGGCCCACCCGGGGGTGGCCGGAACTTCATCACGCCCAGGGCCGCGGCCTTCATCCCGGGGAGGGGGAAATGTCCATCCGCACCCCCAAAATGGTAGTCCTGCTAGTGTCGCTTTTGGCTTTGTTTTAAACCCACCGACCATGGGTACCCTCAAAGAAAACACCCTCACATTGATGAGAGGTTCTCCAAACTGTTTGGTTGGTATTTGAGGGAAATCAAATGGAAGCCAGGATTCTAATGGGCATTCTGATACGGGGACTGGGACCCAACATGGTGGCTTGTTTTTTTTCTCCTTCGACCACACCTGAACAAGGTGCCCTCAAAACCACAAACCCATAGTGTGTGTCATGGGCACCATGGCCAAAGTCCACATAGCCATATTCCTCAAGGCGCTCCATTCGCTTGTGGCGCTAGGAGCCTAGGGTCGTGAGATAAAGGGTATTTCATGGCGCCCTCTCCGGGCGAACCTGGGCTTCTACTAACTTGGGGGGTGACCCTTTGGATATTCACGTATCATATTCTTCGCAATTCGACTCAATTCGATGTGGATGGCCCTTTTATTGATCAGGGAAGTTGGACGCTTCCCATCTATGATTTGCATCAGCATCACAACAATACGCACGGGTATGACAGTCTCGCATTGAACGAACATCAGCAACAATCGCTCTTCAGTATCCTCATGAGCCAAATTCTTCCCAAGATTTTGCTCCATCATTGTATGCGATCTCTGATTGACCGCGCAGGATTCATCGTATCTACCTTCCTTGGCATCGTTTCTTTGCAGGATGATGGACATCTTGCTCTTATTCCGCGTGGTATTGGTATTTATTACGCCCTTTCTTCTTTGTTCGAATGTGATTTGGCTGATATAGATATTCATCGCAGTACAACTTGCCTTGCTATTGGACATGTGATTTGGTGGCACAGCTATATCTTTGAGGGCTTTGAGCAGCTCCTGCGTATTGTGATGATTATTGCTGTGATCTCTACAGCAATGTGGGCATGCTGCAGTGGTACTGTGAGCAAGGAGGTGGCTACAGCTCTTATTTGCGCTACACTGCTACAGCTTCAGAATGTATGGATGCTCCAATCTTTTCTGGGTATCCTCTTCGCCGTTATCAGCATCCAGTACGGTCCACTCTCTCAGGCAGGATGTATCGGACTCGCGGGGGTGGTCTATGGAGTTGCTTCATATGACAGATATCAGCAAATATTTGAAACAACCTCCCCAATAAAGTTTCTGTGTTTTGCTGCCTTCTTCATTATCGCTTCTGTCCAGTTCAAGATGTCCAGCACGACCACGGAAGTCTCTCTTTCGGTCATCTTTCTCACTGTGAATCATAGCATTTGGCAACTGTTTCTTTTGTCAGACATTGCCCTCCTTGCTGCGGGTTCTTGGCACCTGTGGCTCAAATCCTGATTGCCCAGTGGATTGCATCCTTCGTGATGCCATGACCTGGCCCCACCCTCGCTGGTGGAAGGGTCTCTTGACCATGGTGGTCCTGGGCTATGAGGCGGCGTTGCTCGGTATTCTTTTGTGGTGTTTGGGTCGGTGGGCGCAGATCGCCTTGACATTGCCCTTCTTTGGTGCAGCAGGTTTCAGATGATCATTGTGATGGCGCACCTCAATTCTGACGGCGATTCAGCTCTGGCTCCAGCAGGTCAATGGAGTATGGATAAGGTTTGGAAGCAGCCTATCTTTCGGGATGTTGTTTGTAGGCTTCGTGCCGCGCCGAACACGGCTGCTTCTGGAAAGCATTGGCCCAGCACCTCCATAAGATGCGAGGACCTGGCGGAGTTTGGAAAAGCTTGTCCTGACGGGGCAGGATGATATCTCACAATATCGGAAATCAGGTGCGTGGGCAGATCAGGCAGTCATTCAGAGGGCAGCAGCTTGGGATCGATATTTGCATTTTTCAGACAGATGTCCGCATCACGGGTGTTCTCAAGGGCCGGGCGATCGATGTCAGCTCAGGAGTGGTGAATGCGAGGCAGGTGAATATCTTGCTGTGCAATGAGCACTTTGAGGCTGCATTTGGAGCACGCTTTTACGGAACTTGAGATGAGAAGCCTTGCTCCATTGCCCCGTTTGTTGATCTCACCTTTGATGAGCAAGCGTTCAAGCACAAGCCGATGTGCAGGAAGCAGATGGTACCGTGCTGTGGATACAAGCGTCGCAGTTTTTAACCAGCTAAGCTGCGTCTTCGTGGGGGACGCAAACGTGCTCATGGGGCGTCAGCTGAGGACCCACACAGCAGCGTTGGATTTCTCGATGGTTGAGCTCTGCGCTTGCACTGAGGCATGGAGCACAGAAGCTTGGTCTTCGAATTACCAATGAGGGATATGTTCCCCTTACTGACCTGCAATGGCACAAACCTTTGTTGACCCCGCCCATGCTCTATGATATTGCCGAAGCAGCACTTTCATTTGGTACAGGCGCCTGATGGATCTATCATGGTGAAAGCAGTAGCAGGGCGCTCAGCAGGGACGGCAGTTACACACACGCTTCCCAAGCTACATGATCTTCCTATTCTGTTGGTTCATGGGACCAGGGCAATCAGGATGCCGGGAATCACACGGCATGGTCTCAATCGAACAACAGCGTGAGTACTTCATTGACGCATCGGACCAACAAGCGGTGGACATGCAGCTGAGGACGGACTCGGATGTCTTCATTTATGTGCGCACTGGCAACATTGAATGACAATAATATCCCTATTTACAAAGCAGAGAATGGCGTTTATCTTGTGCAGGACACCATCGCGGCGCACCTGTTTGATACAGTTGAGTGGAAGGACCTGGCAAGGATTATTTTTACTGAACAGCTGGAGGTCCTCGACCCTCACTACGCCTTGATCTGGAGATCTTTGCTTCATTGGCATCGTATTTGGAAGAAGCACGCTGACGAGGTCACTACTCCTTTTTCCAAGTGGGCTCAAGTCAAGGTCGTCAGGGGTAGAATTGGACCTATTGGTCAACTCAAGAAACACCTCGAGTTCCTGTCACTTCATCTGAATCACACAAACGGAGTTGCCTATTCTTTATCTGGCGCCGAAATGTGGAAGTTCGGTTCCAACTCCACTGCCACCATGAAAATGCTCTTCGCAAATTACTTGTTCAGATTGCTCTCCAAGAGCTGACGCTCAACATGTTATTTGGGAATGCCGTTTTTGGGACCATATCAGACGGGCGTGGGCTACCCCTTGACGCTCCTCAACCACTTGGCCACCCTTTATGAAACATTTTCTGGTTTGTTGCTCTGACGTATGTGCGCTCATGCAAGAGTGGGAAGAGCACAACGGCATACACGAAAGGAACGAACTGCGGCCCTCTTCTGAAATATTTGTCAATTCTCTTTCAACCTCGGCTTCATGTATGGTTCCGTGTTCCAGCGCTGTTATGTGCCTTGATCCCAAGCACCCCCCTTTCGCCAAATCCACTCTTTCCAATTCATTGCCGTGTGCGTGAGTTGGGCCCGCTATGAACCCGGAACTCAGTTTGATGTTCGCGAACCCACTTGGATGGAACTTCTCCTCTTTTGTATTCTCATTTGTGGCACGGACACTCCCTTCATGGACAATGCCAGGGCCCTCAAAAATACTTTTAAGGAGGTTACTTGGAAGTTCCGAGTGCTCTGGGAAAAACTCGCTATGTTGCACTGTCAGGACTTTGACAACGAGCTTTTGCTGGAGAACCCACGCTTGTCAAAGTTATCAATGGTTTTCCTACCGTTGGAAGCATGCGAAAGGGTTGGAGGCTGGTGCAGAACGATGTTTTACCAGCCTCTTTCAGATATCATATTAATGACGAGTACATTGCCAGTGGCAAGCGCCCTAGCAAAATATATGTCACTTTTGAAGATGCGGCGCAGCGTATTGCTAATTGGCGCAATCTCCCCTTCTTCAGCACTTTCACGCTTCAGCATAGGCTGCGTTGCAAGACTACTGCGCCCGCGGTTCTTGCCCAAAGGCGCCCCTTTTGCTTTGCTCCTCACAGTGATATTGTTCCTGACCCTCACAGCCCTACGGTCTGTGATGACGTTCGCAGCTTCCTTAAGTATAAGCCTTTTGAGTCGGTCCCGCTTGGACAGTATTGCAATCCGGCGTTCCCTTCGCGTCTCTGCAGTGCAATTTCGTGGTGCCATCACGAGATGGAATTTCGTTAGAAAGTCCTGGGTCAATCGCAGAGAGGCCACAGTTTGTTATGCACACGCCTGACGGCCACTTTGGCATCTTGACGTGCCTCTTGGGTTCAGCTGTGGCAGGAGACAGCGCCTTCTCCTGCCTCTTCAACATGTTTTTGCCTCGAAGGATCTTCTGGAAAAGCTGCATATTCTTCTTGCTAAGGTGTCGGGGTAGTTGTCTCACCTCATCTTGAATCGATCCATTTGGGCCAAAGTGCCTATCATCAACCTGCGAGACAGCGACCGACGGCCAAAGTCCACATAAGGAGTTTTGACCAGCCATGGGCTCGGTTCTTTTCTCGGGGTGGCGGGGTCGGCCAACAGACTCCTGCACCCAACGCGGGCAGCCGGCAACTACCGCCACAAAGCACAGCTAGCGTCAGACTGGCCGAGCCTGTACTCTGGCAGCGCTTGAGAGTGAGACGCATATCCAGAGCTGTCAGCGGGCACCAGAGCCGAGACAGATCCCATCAAGAGAATCAGAGTGCTGAGTCATGCGAAATGATGCCACGCAGTCTGCTTCGTCAACAAGCGCAGGGCCTCTGAGCCAAGGGTGGTGTATGCATTGCCTGGCGGCTCAAAGACTTGCATGCGTAGTATTTTCTCATGAGCCTAGTTTCGCCTTTTGATTGGAATGTGGTGCTTTACAGTTTAAGGGGAGAGAGGTTAGCAAGGAGTTGCGGCTGAGCTATTCGGACACAACCCATAGCCTTGGCTCAGAGCTTGGAGGCCAAGATGGAGTGTGTAGCTTGCAAAGCGCGCGTCTGACATTCTGCCGGATGTATCCTGAAGTCAGGCCACCACCAGGCAGTATGGCATAGCCCACCCAGCCCACTCCCGCAGAGGACGCTTACCAGCCGCCTTTGGCTCGGATGTCCGCGAAAGGAGAAAAGGAGTTTTGACTCGTTTTGACCATGGCTCATACGAACGAGGAATAACGTTGCTAGGGGTGCTGGCGTTTCATGGCCAATTGGTTTTGCACAACTCCATATGATCCCCTTTGGAGGCGCGGTTGTGTGGAAGGGTTGGTGCTTGAAAAAGTCAGTCCGGGCGACGAAATTGGGGTCATCAGGGACTTATGATATGTTTGCTTGGGGTCGCAAACAGCGGCCCAGCTCAACCACTTGCCTTTGTTTTCACGCGCAGGACCCTTGATGCCGACTGGGGATGGGCAACTGCTGGCCAGGGGTCCAAAACGGTCATGAGTTCACGTTGTATTCCACCAGCCTTTGAACAACCTTTGAACCTACATGCTCTCATGCACCCAGATGGACCACGATGCACTGCTCCCAGGTTCTGAGCCACATGTACCTGGTCGGCTTCCCTCTATTGGATGATGACAACATGATGTGGTAGGCTCAGACATGCAGCTGGATGGGCCTGAGGCTTCAGACCAAGCAACGCAAAACCAGTGGGACAGCAAGGTTCCTAGCCTGCGCAAACCTTACACAGAGGCATGCACTTTCACGGCCATGGCTTGTACAGCAGTGGCCACTTGCGATCATATCGCGCGGGTGCAAGCAGTCAGCCTTTTCTGGTTAAATCTTTCGCCAGCAGCCCAACAGGGTGCTTCCGGGAAACAAACATGGCCTGACCTTGCTTGACCCTCCTGCAAACAAGGAACAAGGAGTGCAACGTAATTATTTGGTCTTTTGGGAAGATGACATGGCCCGGTTTTCTGCCGCATGATCTCAGGAATTCTTGTTTGGAGCCTGCGCTTGGTTTTTGACCCTCGGTGCTGAGGCAGATCTTCAACACAATCCTCGAGTGGAAGTTCCGGGCGGGACCTGGGGAGGAATAGCTATGTGCAGCTTGAACCAGCGTCAACACCTGGCTAAATGAAGTCAGAAGAAATCCATGACAATAAGTGGAGGCGGCTCTGTTGTTTTTTTGTTTGCATGGTTTTGTGGAATACTTCCTTGTTACCACGTGTTGGCTATGACTCTCCTGACGTTCATATGGCCCTTGGTGGTCACCTTGCACTTTGGCCGACAGGCGTCTTGAAGCTCTCCATTGCATGATGTGGCCATGCTGCGATGCATCACCAGGGAAGTCGTTTTCCGTGAACACGGGGTGCCACGTTTGAATGTGAAGCTGTCCCCGGCCAGACGGATAACTATCCAGCGGATGTGGCCGGGCTCAGCCGGAAAATCGTCCAAGCCACTTTGGAGATCTACAAGAACACGCCTGAGCCTCGGACCAGTCATTCGGGACCGGCCTTGCCTCGAGAATCTCTGTTTTCCCTCTGCCATGTTTTCGGATTTCAACCGAGGTCCGATCAGTTGCGGCCAACCCCCATGAAGGCGGGCTTGCAATGTCTCGAATGCTCCGTGCTTCCCACGCATAAGCAAGCCAACGCTGAGCCCAAGAAGCGACCCAGCATGGCTCGTGCTGTACACCTTGTGTGCATTTGCCAGTGAAATTTGCTGGTCAGAAAAGAAAAAATGCCACTGGACACTGCAAGTTTAGAGTTTCCCGCAACATATCAAGCGGCCGCCTTTGGCAAGATCTGGCAAACACAAGCGCATTTTTTCTGAAATGGTTTTTTCTCACGCCGGGCGCCTTTGGGTTGGTTTCAGGTTCACTACACCTTCAACTTGCGGGATTTCTCCAAGGTGATTTGCGGCGCCCGGGGCTCGAAGATGCGTTAGGGAATGATTTTGCGGGGTTTTGGAATGAACCGGTTTTGGGGATCCCCTAAAAGGAAACGAGTTGGGATGTTATTTTTTCGGGGTCATTCCATTTCTCATTCCAAGCCTATCGAACCAGCAAGTCAAAGCGTCTGCTCATTGTATTGGAAGATCGTCATGGATCGTGGCTATTTGTTTCCACATGACTTCTCGATGTTCAACATGTCTTGAGAATTGGGATGTGCGCCATGAAGAGGTTCAATGATACAAAAGCTGCTTGGACCGAACGTGCAATCAGAACAGCCATGCCATGCAACAGCCATTGTGTACTCGCTTGTTGGTAGTTCAAGGGCTAGGTGCAGACAAATAGGTGTGTCTTTGTTGAGGGTACCCTTTCTGGGTGTATTTTGAAAACCGAGGGAAACCATGCTTTTTCGGGTACCCCATTTGAAGACAAGCCCAAGTCGTTCTCAACCAGCTAGAGCCTCCGGGAATCCTTCCACCAACGGAACATGGAGCCCTTCTCCCAATCCTCTGTCGCTCGCATCCGCAAGAGCGCTGAGGTCCTGTTGCTCAAGAAGAACGAGTGCGAAGGCGAGCGAGTTGAGACACTTGCAGTGAGCAAAGGTCAACCGCAAGTCGCAAGTTCAATCCTATGGAATGAAGACATGACGCTCATCCCAAGGTGATCGTCTCAAACTTAGCACTGGTTTGAGTCTTTGGATTCTCGTGGATCTTGGACCGCCTTGCTTGGGTTGTTTTAGTATTCCCCATTTCAATGCCATGATTCCCCTTTGACTCCACGATGGCAGGCCTTTTGAAACCGCTTAAGTTTGCAAACCTGAGACCGTATACTACAGTACCAATATGACCAAATCAACTGAGGCATAGGGATACAGTTTTCATCTCTGCGGGGTTTAGGCAAAGTGGGTTTTCCTTTAAACCCTCGCAAAAAAGGGTACCCTCAAAAAAGGACACACCCAATAGCTGGGTTCCCATAGGCAAGCGTTTCCAACCAAGCAATAGGGGGGAAAGCGCCTGGAACCAGGCACGGAGCGCCATGTCCGGCTTTGGGTCCATGCGCCTCGTATGCAGTTTGTACCGTCCGGTGCGAGAAATCCGAACTCCCGACGTCACATTTTGGGTACTTCGGGTTGAGGCTTGGGGAAATCACAGCCAACACCGGATCCGGAAAGTGATGATAGGGAACGTTGCCAACAAACACATGGTCATATCACAAGAAACTCAGTGGTTGACAACGTTGGCAGAGGGCAATGCAAATTACTCGATCATTTGGAGAAGGTGTCAAAGTATGGCTCTAAATGCAATGCCCTCTTTGAAGCCCAGGTTTCCCCGTGATTCTCCCGCCCATTTCGGACCATCAAACCATTGAATTGGGGTATGCTTCATGTGTTGAATCCTATTGAGACGGTGCTGTGATTGTTCGCAGCTGCTCTCCACTTAAGCCCACAGTCACCAGAATTTTCAGAAATATCCATATCTTAGCGTTGCACAAGGCAGGCAGCCTTCACTTATTGAGATTTCTCGGCCCCAGCCGGACAAATTGCTGCACAGTCTGCGCAATATGATGTTATTGTCGCCATTTGTCGCCCAATAAAACGTGCAGCTGGTCTCATGGCCCTCAGGAGATTCTTCGAGTGTTCGGAGATCGCCTTATTGACGACAACGACCGAGAATGGATGCTGCCCGCGGCCCGGAGTCGAGTCGCATTTGGTGAGAGGGTCTGAGGATGGAACGTGTCACTGCGGGTGTTCACTGCGAGGCCGTGTTTGGGCAGAGGTCTGGCGGGGAAGAAGAGGAGTTGCACTTTGTTCTAGTATTGTTCATGAATATGTGGCACCTTGATAGGTACACAATCCACATTTGTTGCATGAATTGGCTTGGATTCACGAACGCAAGGTGGCAGGCAGGCAAGGCTTGCGCTTCTCTGCATCTCACTTGCGACATGGTTCTGTTTCCACAGCCGGTAATCAGACTCGTTCCCTTCAAAATCGCACAGGACTGCACGTCAAAACTAGGGCTCCCGTCGGGGATGCTTTAACGTCAACATGAATTCATGTCATGTGGAGGAGTTGGACATGATGGCATGGCAAGAGTCCTTGAAGAGGATATCCAGGATATCCGGAGTTCTTATGACAAGGCCTTTGTCTGTGGGAGGCACGTGCAAACAATTGATCGGTGTCAGATGAGATTTGCTGCCAACTTGACAACGGGATTGACAGCTCTTTGCAGGGAATTTGCTTTCTACTGCAAATGGACATAAGTCGGGAAGTGCTGCGGAATTGACTCATGTAGACTTTGTTTGGCACACATGGAAGTTTATGTATTGTTCTTTGCAGGTACTGCAACAAGGGGTTGTTGCCTGATAGTTGGCTGTATATCAAGAGGCTGTTGCGAGCCTCAAAATCGTCCTGATGGGCAAAGCACGATAAGACGCTCTTGCAAAATGTTGGCTCTGCAACCCAAGGCACAAGCCATGCCTATCTCAATCTATGTGTTCCTTTTTTTGGCTCTGTGAGGCTCCAGCTACGGGAGCAGACAAAGAAGAACTTCCAGGCCGGCGCATTGCCCTCGCCTGCCAGCGATAGGTAGGGAGTGTGAAATGGAATGAACCCAGGCGTTGGTCCCCATTAAAGGAAACCACCGGTTGGACGGTTTAGTTTATAGGGGTCATTCCATTTCTCATTCCCTGCTGAGAATCAGCAAGATAACAGAGCCGCGGCGGACATTCGTTACCCACCCGGTTGCGTGACCTACTGTATGTCACAAAATCTGCTGGTCGTCACGTACCCCCTCGTTTCATACCAATCTTGAGGCTCGTTTCGCTTATGCACGCAAGGTTTCCTTTGATGACATCATGGCCCACTTGGACGCCAACAAGGATGGCAAGGCTGGGGAGAGTTGGACGGTGTCCCATCGAACTCTGGCTGCAGTCGCTAAGAAGACTGCAGATTTGCCCAAATGTGAGCTACTGCGGATGGGCGAAATCCAGTTCGCATTGCCTAAGAAGCCCTATTCTGATTCCCCCCCGTAAATTCCAACAAAAAAGGCTTCAGAGGTGGGGTATCCAAGGTTTCTAGGAGGGGTACCAAGAAACAATGATTCCCCTGCAATCCAAACAACGGTTTCAACCATTGTAATTTGTGGTGCGAACACATTTCGCAATCATCATCCATGTTGAGGCAGCCCTTTGGTGGTGTGGATTGGTGGTTTGGGGATGTGAACCCCTGGTTCTTGTAGAGGGTATGGATGGGAAACCACCCCCGCAACCCCCAAACCACCAAACCAAACCACCAAAACCATGAATTAGGGGGAAGCTGACATGGCAGGCTTTTGTTCGAAGCAATCTCGTGCGTTTGTCCAGTCCCATGCTTTTTTGGGTTTCCACCGCGTCAGGTCAACACACTGGACGAGGCGCGCAAACAAAAGAAACCAAATTTGCTCATGTGATGCTTGGAGAGCAACAGGCGGATCGGGATTCAGGATGAGCCAATTCATGCGAAACGCGTGCCTTCAAAAATAAGGGGTTTGAGGTGCCGTGTGACAATGTCCCTTGCAGGATCCTCGACAGCCGAACTGTGTCACGAGTGCCGGCAGGTGCATGTCCCTTGATAGTACATCAGTTGTGCAAGAGCATGATCATGTCACTATGGTTAAGGCCACATGTGCAGACCACGGCTGGGTTGCATGCCGTTGAGCATGTTGAGGAGTACGCACATGTATACCAGTTACAAGTTATGCCCTTTATTCCCGCTGCAAGAGAAGAAGCAGGCGGAGGAGGAGGAGGAGGAGGAGGAGGAGGAGAAGGAAAAGGATAACAACGCGAAGAACGAAGCACACAACAGCAGAACAATTGTGAGTCAAGCCAGCGGCTGTTCGCGAAAGCCAGGTGCGCACTCTGTTCTTCGGCGACATGCTCTCACCCTCGGCAGTGCCTTCTCGGCCCTACACTGAGCGCGGCAGCCAAGCGGCCAAGTGCTCTCTCTCGCTCTCTTGCGCGAAGTCGTAGTCGTGACAGTCTGACTTGTTTCAAGCCAGGTTTGCAGGCTGGTTGATGAATATATTCATGACCACGTACAATATTATATATATATATACATACATATACATATACATGTACATATACACATACATACATATACACATACATATACACATATACATGTACACATGCATATGTATGTGTACATGTACATATATATATATATATATGTGTAACGTAGATGCCGGAGGATACTCGTTTGAAACATGCGTATGTGTGTGTATGTCCCAGCGTCCTGTTGTTTCCTGGCAGGGAATAGGCGATGATTAAATCTCACGACCTTGCTGCAGAAATCCCCACCTGCCCGCCGTCGGTGAGCACGTGGAAGCTGCCTACAACATCGTGATTAGTGGTTGGGTGTCAGATTTTGCGTTTGAGGCAGCCTCCAGATTGCTTTCATAGTTTGTGAACATCTCAGCTAGTAGCGTGCCACTCTCAACCAGGACTATCGAATGGTTTGTTTGGAAGCGTTGGCTTATTTGTTCAGAAGTGTATTGCTGCAGCGTTGCAGTACATGTTGATGTCTACATATAGATCCCGTTTGATTTAAGCACAGTCAACGCGGGCTGGGCTGGGTTCACTCATCAGGTGAGCAATCAAAACTTACCAGTGTTACATGTGTTCAGGGGATTGCACATGGCGGACTTAATTTCTGCCTTGCAAACACGGGGCGATATGAACATTTTGCCTGTTCTTGCGCAATGACCAGTAGAGGCAATCAGCAACTAATTGTGTGGCTTGAATTGATATATTCGAGTTGCCGCCGCGGGTTCAAGGTGGAATACGTTTAAGACATATCGATCTGGCGACATTCGCACCGGCAAGCAACGCCAGCCCCGAGCACCCTGAGACCCTGAGACCCTGAGACCTTTGAATCAAGACGGGAGGTCCAGTCAGCCCCAAAGCGTTGCCGCTGGCGACCGCATTGCGCCATGGCGAGCTTCGTGGAGTCTGGGAGGAGTCAATGTCAACTGCCCCACAGTTGGTCATAGAATTTGCTGGAAAGGAGAGTTTGTGGAATGTCCGAAGCGGTCAGAATCGGTATCAGGCAATCTCATGTTTGCCACTTTTTTAAGCTGTTCCAGCTTTTGCCAGAGAGAATCCGTCAGAGTCTAGCTGGCTGATTCATGCGACTCGGCACATTCGAAGCTTCCGAATGGCCCAAAAGGGTGCGCGTGGAGATTGCGACGGGGGCATCATGTTCGCAGAATTCAAAGCATCTTTAGAAGCCGAGGTGAAAGATCGGTTGGCGAAACTGAACAAGTATGCAATGTTTTTTGTATTCAAGTCAATGGGCCAGGCCAACAATAATCTACATACCCCTATGGCACACGGAAAGCACGCAGGGCATCGTTGTTTTTCGTTGGCCCGCCACTGGTGCCAAACAAACTGACCATGCCACGTCAATGCCTCGTGGCCGTAGGAAGATAGTGGCCGTGGGCAAGAACTACAGCAAGCACATTGCTGAGATGGCGAAAATAGGCAGGGTGTCAAACGCACTTGAAGAAACTACATGGCTTACTTGGGGTGCTCTGACCGGTTGCTATGCATTGTGGACCAGAGGTGGCAGCTTTTTCCAAACGGGCTGTAAAAAAAGGAGAAGCGAGCAAGTCAAGCATCATTTCCAGAGTGTGTTGCTTCGAATGTTTTGATTGCAACATATTGCAACCATGAAAGAAGGCACTCGGGGCTTCATCTTGAGTTGAGGCAGGCAAATCGGCCTGCCGTCAGTCATCTTGGAACCTGCGTGGCTTCCAGAGTGTGGAGGAAGTTGACTGACTTTGATGAATTCCAGCAGCAGTTTGGTCGGAACGTCGGAACTCCCGCAACCGGCATGACTGACAAAGAACAATTATACAGATGGTCGTCAAGAAATAGGGATGTGAAACAGCACCAAGGATGAGTTGCCTCTTAGGCGGCAGTGTATGTAGCCCACAAGATCTTTGGACCGTGGTTTTGCGTGTGGTTTGCGTGTGTGTAGTTGAGTGCTTGCTCGAGTTTGTGCCTGTGGCTTCTTTGTGTGTGTGAGGGTCCCTTTCAGGCTGCTTTAAGGGCGCCTTAAAAGGAACGCCCCCATGTTGGTTCCCCGAGTTTTGTTTAAAGGGGCAGGACCCCACTACTTGACACGAAGCGGGCGCAGTGCAGGCAGTGCGAAAGACGAGAAGATCGCGGCTTCGGCTCCCAGCACGCCAGTGCTGTTTCTGAAGCCCACGACTTCCTACCTGCCCATGGGCAGCTCGGCCTGTCCTTTCGCTTTGGAATCCCCAGCTAGCGGGTGAACCCTGGAATTTTATAGAATTCATAGCTTTTGCCTTTTGTGGGCAAGGGTGGACGCTTTAAGACATAGCTGAGCAGGGGAAAGTGCTGGCTGTTGCCCAAAGTTAGTCATGAAGGACCTTCGAATGACCAATTCCAGCTACCAGCTTTCGAGGCAAGCTGCGATTGCTTGCTAAAGGACAAATGACGGGATATGTATACACATATATCATGCATGCATATATATATATAGAGATTTGTTTGTGTGTGTGTGTGCGCACCTTACTTTCCAGACATGCAGCATGGCGAAAAGTGGGCAACAACGTTCGCCCCGTTGCTTGGACTGGCGCCGTGCTCAGACTTGGTGGCTGCTACGCTGGCAAATTGGAAAAAATAACTCGGAGGGGCCCATGCCAAAAGGGGCGTTTTGGGGAAACTGCTTTGGGGGTAATAAGTGCACAAGTTCTTAGACCGGTGGGACTTGGCATGTTTCAGAAGATAGGGCCTCAACGGGCCTCATTTTAAGCAGATGCTGCACCGAATCCCCATTCTCTTTTAAGAAATGTCCTTTCGGGGAACCCGCACCCGGTATGCTTTCGATCTCGAACAGAGGTTGTTCCTGCGGTCCTCACTGGAGCATCCCGAGGTGCCGGGCCCATTCTTTTGCCGAATGCCATTGGCCCAATCCACCACGAGGCGTGGGGCAGATGGTCGGAAGAGGACCATCCAGCGAAAGATTTGCCATATTGTCCAAGTAATTGAGGTCACTGCTCCACTGCTTGTTGAAGCCAAACTGCATGTTGCATCATGTTTAACTTGATCTTGCACCAAGGGAAGGGTTCACGCAAGATGAGAGTTGTGAGCACGGTCAATGTAGGCGAGCTCCGGGGCATGCATGGGCTAGCGAACACCATGCCAAGTATGGAAGTAGACAGTGCACTTTTCTCAAGATCCCAAACTTATCCGTGCAGTTCCATGATTGTTGAAAGAGGGTACCAGCGATTTGAGGCGTTTCCCGATGTTTTTTGCGATCCTTCCCTTGTTTGCTGTGATGCTTGTTGACATGTGGCACGGGACATGACGCATTCAAGCATTGTTGTGTTGATAGTGTGTGTGTGTGTGTGTCTCTGTGTCTCTGTGTCTCTGTGTCTCTGTGTCTCTGTGTCTCTGTGTCTCTGTGTGTGTGTGTGTGGTGTGTATGTTGGTGTGTGGGTCTGTGGGTCTGTGGGGGTCTGTGAGGGTGGGTGGGTGGGTGGGTGCGTGCGTGCGTGCGTGCGTGCGTGCGTGCGTGCGTGCGTGCGTGCGTGGGTGGGTGGGTGGGTGGGTGGGTGGGTGGGTGGGTGGGTGGGTGGGTGCGTGGGTGGGTGGGTGGGTTCGCTGTTCGGTTGTGTGTGTGTGTGCGTTGTTCGCGGAAAATAATGAAACACTCGTACCTCATTGACTTCGCTTTTCGTCAACGTGATGTCAAACGGTTTGCTGGAGATACTTGTGTTCTTGGGTTTGACGTTGCTCTTACAAGCTCTTGCAAACGAGTCAACTGAGAGCTTTGGAGTGATTCTCCAGGGCGATAGCGAGGCATGTAAATTGTGTTGTGCACCGGGGAATGGATCCATTCTTTGTTTTAATGGTGTATTGATTTCTGACCAACACTTTGTAAGATGATTGAATTAGGCTAGGGAGGGTTGCGATGGTTGCTATAGGCCTTCCTAGCATGGCCAGATGCGAGAGAAACATGTTCACATCTAGCTATCCCTGGATTGCTGGACGGGTTTCCTCGGGTAAGGGCCAAGGTTAGGGCTAATCATTGGGGACCCCCTACTCACCAGAGTGGTTCTCAGAATCCTTCTAAGAAGGCTCCAACTTTTCCTGCGGGGGGCCGGTGGTCCAGTTTTGGCCATAGGCTAGGGGTTGTCAGGTGGAGCTGGGCGTGGTGATTGGCCAGCGGTGCAAGTGACTAGAAAGCATTCGGTCGGGCCCAGGGATACGTGTCGAAGGCGGGACCATGGTGGTTTTGCTTGTGGTTTTTCCCTCAACAAAAGCACACCCATTTTTGAGTCCTACGCGCCGAGCCATGAGGCTGTTCATGTTTGCCAGGGGATCCTTCATTTTGGTTGTTGGTCATGCTTGAAAGGTGAATATTGGGTGATATGACATGCATTGTGCATGTCCTTTCATTAAAAGCTATGCGTTGTTCGTTCTGCTCAGATTGTGGTGTGAAGCTTGCATACCTTAGCATTGTGCCACTAGCAATGCTGCCCTTTGCAACCCCGTGCTGCCCTGTACTACGTAGCAGCCTGAATCCGGGGTCCCTATTTCCCTCTTCAGCACGTTTAAAGAGCACCTTTTGGGCAACTTTCAGATTAGTTTTATTTTCAGGGGAAAATATGTATATATATATATATACTCCATATATATATATATGTAGAATGTATGTATACATATATATATATATATGTATAGGAGCCCTGCGACTGGCATTGTTTCTCAGATGTTCTGGAGGTTTGCCTTGACATCTTCAGCTTCCTAGGCGCGTGCCGGAGGAGAAGGCCATGGACGTGGTTGTAGGCACGGGCCTGCGGCCTGCGCATGTGAAAGGGTGTGCTTTTTGGAGAGTACCATTTTGGGTGTGGCTCAAAATTAAACAGGAGGGGCAAACCGCAGGTTTTGGTCCATGTTTCCATTTACCAGGGTTCCATTTTGGTACCGGTTTTTTGAGCCACAGCCTTTTCGGGTTGGGAGGACCGCACATTTGTTTAGTTTTTTGACACATACTACGGCTGTGGGTCAAAATGGGCACCCAATATGGAATGGCAGATGGACAGACACCAGCGGTTCCTGATGGTTTCAGTTTGACCCATACCCATATGCACTTAGGTCAGTTTGGGAGGGACACGGAGGGACTTACTGATTTTGATCTTGGGGTTGACCCCAACTGGTGACTTGGCAATTTCTTGGACGCACAGCATCACAGGCTGGGTACCCAATGGGGGCCCTATTCTTAAAAGAATCAGCATGCACATGTACGTTCGCAGTTACTTGTGAGCCACCGGTACCCACTCAAAACGCCAAAAGACTTGTTGGCTTTGAACATAGTTAGACCAAGACTTTTGCGCCATGATGTGCAATGCTTTCGTTCTGTGTGTATGTGTCTTTTGCTTTTTTTTACACTTAGCCATACTGAGTTGTGCACATGTAGAGTACGGCCAGCGCTTGGTGTGCAACTGTGGATTTTGCATAAAACAACATGGGAGAACACGCACTCACACATTGACATAAGCTTCACTACCCTGCATTTGAGATCCACTTATGTGACCCTGGGCGGCCTCTGCCCTTTCGATACAGACCTCTCGTAAGAGGGCAACTTCAAATCTAAAGTCATAGGATCACCGGCCCCCTCGAACCCCCGTGCTTTTTCCTCCCAGGGCCTCTTCAGGCCTTCTGATCTTTGGGGAAACCGGGCGGGAGCGGGGGGCGGCGAAGGCTACTGCATCGCGCTGGACCTCACAGCGCGGGACCTGCAAACCGCGGCCAAAGACAAGGGCCTGCCCTGGTCCGTGCCCAAAGGATACGTGCCTCGTCCTTTAGGGCTTTTGATGGGCGGGCACGCGTGGGCGCGGGTGTGTGTGTGTGTAGGTTTCTAGGTAGGTCTGGTAGGTTGGTAAGTTGGTGTGTTGGTTGGTGGATTGGTTGGTAGGTAGGTAGGTAGGCATGCAGTGTGGATTGTGTGCTTGCAGGGTTCTGACCGTTTGCCTGTTGTTAGATTCGCAGTCAGTCGAGGTGTGTCGCGCCTCGCGTCGTCCCATGCTTCCCATACTTTGCACCATCCTGCAAGGCCGCCCCTCAAGTAGATGTCGGCAGAGCCTTGTTGCAGAACGGTTTGGACGCCGGTTGTGAGGTAGGTATGACAGCAACGGGCACCCCTCAGGTGTGAGCTTCAGTGTTGAGGTAGGTCGAGCCAGGTGGGTTGAGTTCAAAGTGCTGTTTCCACCTTGCAAGAGCATAGTACCTGGCTGGGCGCGGGTGCTGCTTGGGGGTCAATTGTTTGGCACTTGAAGAAGGCATGTTGCTTCTTTAGCTTGGATTAGAATCGAGTAATTTGCATGGCTTCATGCTCACACTGGGGAGTCGCGGATGCTGAGTTCTGAATCTTCAAGCTTCATCAGAAATTCGGTTCGTAGGGAACAAGCAAGCACCTGGTAGAAGCTTCGTTCTCCAACTTTTCCAAGCTTCACGCCCAAACTCGTGCCTCGCCTTGGAGCATGTGCAGAAACGTCGGTAGCTTGGCATGAAAGGAAATGATTCAATTTTGGTTGGCAGATGCAGTTTTCTGGATCCTTCGAGATGCGCTGAGGGATACGACATGTTTTTTTCTGGTAAGAATGACTGATCACGCAATCAAAGCATTGCTTTGCACTGGCATCTCGGGAGAAGTGCCTCAGGACCACTTCACCCCTGTCGGCCAGTTCATCGACAAAACCGCAATCCCGGATCCGCACAATCTGGAGCTGTTCTGCGAAGTCAACGGCGTGCAGCGGCAGCGGGGGAGCACCGGTGAGATGATCTTCAAACTGCCGAAGTTGATCCTTATTTGCGAGTTGGCCGAGTCAGCATGTGTGTGTTTGCTTTTAAGGGTGCCCTGTTTCAGGTTGGTTGAAAGAGAAACCAAGAAGAGAACCCCCATGGGGTCCTCCTATTTGGACACACACACATGCACATTTCTTATTTGGATCAAAGTTTTGCAAGTTCAGGCATGAGCTCGCCATCGGGCCGGACATGTAATTACTCGTACGGGTAAATCGCCCATCCTGTTTGTTTTGTTTTGCCAATGTAGAGTGTCAACCTTGGCATGCAGCATAAAGAGCAAGTACTAAATGTAAGCACTCTGCGGAAATTTGGATCCACGAATTCCGTTTGAGTGACACTTTGAGTGCCATCAGGATCGCGCACATCAGCTCCATCTTCACCCTGGAGCCATTGCCCAGACTTAGCAAAATCCCTCAGACAAGCAGGGAAGCTCCCAGGCCTCGGTAAATGAGTCACCAAGTCTTCCATGTCCGGGCATGCGAGCTTCCATGTGGCCGTGGCTCAAAATCCCGTACCTCCAGTGAACATCCCAATCCCCACTAAAATAGGCTGCAAAATGGGTGGTGCACCGAAAACCCCGAAATGATATCAGTTTTGACTGACAGCCATGTTAGCCTGACAAAATCATGCGACCTCCGCTTTTCACGTTTTTTTGTTTGTTCTGGTTTGTTTCCTGTCAGGAGCCTGGGGACCTGATCCTCACTGGCACGCCTGAGGGGGTGGGCCCCATCGAGGCCAGGGCCAGCTGATTGGAGGAGACGTCACTTTTGGACGTTGGACAAATCAAAGAGCCAGAACAAAACCTCGCGTTTTAGTCATTGTTTCCATGTGCCAGCTGCCACATGGCTTTGCGTCAACGGGAAGCTGGCAAAATTTGAGTCTGTTCCGTTTGATTGCGTTGTCTGTATGGCTAATAACGGATCTTCGGACTTTCACTTTTTGGTTGAAACAGGGGATTTTCCAAATCGGACCCGCAAAAACGCTAAACTTTTTTGCAGAGGGATCAGCAGCAACCAAGCCATTGTATCTCTTTCAGATCCCACTCGAGGTGTTGTTGAGACTGCCCCCCCATCCATTTCGATCAGTGTCTTGTTTGGATCGATATTCAGGGTCACCCCAAACGAGGAAATCAGAGGGTCACTCAAGGGGTGCAACCGATTTCTTGGGGTTCATATCAAGCAGGTCTTGGTGCTGTAGAAGGGTGCAATAGGGCGCGGGGAGCAGCCGAGATTTCTGCAGTCACCTTGAGATTTTCTGAAGCATCCTGGTAGAGTCGAGAGGTCCGCAGACAATTTTTCTGGCTGCCAAAGCACATACACAAGACAGTACGGGCGCACACCGAGGGAGGTCGCACCCGTGTTCTATTGGGCAGACCCCTGGTGTTCAGAAACAAGATGCCATCAGAAAGTGAAGCGGGTTACCTCCCCTGCATTTTCTTTGTGGAGCCCAAAACAGGGTGCAAGGATGGTGTTTCGGGTTCCACGTTAACCTGCCGGTCAGCAAGCCCAAGTGTCCTGCCATAGGCTGGAGACAAAGTGCGTGCTGGCATCACGGGCCTTGTGGAGTCGGAGATCCATTTCGATGTAGCCATGGACAGCGAGTAGATAGGTGTCCTTTGGGCCAGTTTGGTTGAACATGGATGGATTCCAATCGCTTCCAATGCGGATTCTAGCAGTTTGGGTTCCAAGGTGCGAGCTTGGTTTCTCGTTATTCAAGCCGTCTTTTGTTCCAAGAGGACACCTAGCAGAGCACGGATCCCGCTCTCACCCAGAGAACAGCACAGAGGGGATGCCTGTAGAATCGAGGTGTGTCAAAACGAGTTGGACTTGGTTCAAAGTGTCCAAAAGGGAGTCAAAATGCAACCAACTCATTTGGATGTGGTCTGTACTCTTGACAGATCCTCACACAGGAGAATGATTCGGTACCAGTCGTTGGAAGCTGAAATTGCAATGGCAGTGGAGGCAAGCGAGCAGAAAGAAAGCCAGAGCAGCGATGGGTTTTCAAGGAGGGAGACCGCTTTAAAAAATGCGACAGCTTGAACGCGATGGTTTGCCCGGTGTTTGTTTCATGGCAAGTGTGCACATTGCTGCGGGGGGATGCAGATGGGATCATGGGATGTCACCAAGGTGTCCAGATGTCATTTACCTGCAGAAGGAGAGAGTTCGCTGGGTTCATCCATTTCTGCAAACATGCACGTTTAAAGTAGCGCATGGGGAGTTGTGAGCAGTTGCCTTAAGGCTTTCTCGACACTCCGAGCCCACAGGAGATCGAAGCGCATCTCGTGAGCCACAACGAAATGTCTTCTAAGCCTATGGACCTGGTGTGCTTCCTCTACATGCTCCTCGGCTCCGCAAAAAGAGCACCTCATGTCTTCTTTGGCATTTAGGGTCTTGTGGGTTCGCGGCCACTGGCAACTTGCCTTTGGTCGTTCTTGTTAAGATCAAACTGGAAATGCCTTTTGGTTCCAAGTTCGATGAAGCCAATGGGGATTGACACGTTCCCTTCGGGGGTGATGGTTGCACACATTCGCATGCTTTGAGCTGTCCGCTGAGGCAAGAACACTTGGCGCGTGTGTCCCGGGTCATCAAGAGCCCGGGTGGCAACGCCCTGCTGGTCGCTGCCTCAGACCTTCGGAAGACGTGTGTCGAAGCTAAGAATTGGGGGCTGCTCGCCCTCTAAAGCGTTGTGTGTGTAGAGTGCACAATACAATGACGTTTGAGGCAAGTCTCTTTGTTCCTCGACTGCGCTTGCAGAGGCAGCGGTACAAGTTCTGTCCACTCTCGCGAGGTGGGTGTAGGTGGGTCTGGCCGTCAGAGCTGCACACGACTGGCCCGGACCCAAGAGGTGCGCCATTGCCAGCTTTCATTTTCTCCGCCAAAGAGGTCTTCTGGGTCCAGAAGATTTGGCGATGGTCCTTCTGTTGGTGCTTCCTTTGATTGCTCAACTCCAGCATCGGAGCCTTCCATTGCACAGCCAAGCACAAAATGGTTCATGCCATCGCCCGTGTGCTCTCCATTTGGGTCTCTTGCGGTGACCGGAGAGTTGTCCTAAGGCCTGCTACATGGCAGACTTCTCGGTCTTCCAAATCGAGATCACCAAGGGCTACGACATGGTTGCCTTCCGGGAGGTGCGGGCAGACTTGCAATGTGGGTAGTTCCGAAATAAGGGACCCGCAAAAGTGGGTGCCGGCTTTTTGCCTTTCATTAAAACCGCACATCAACAGGTCCCCCGCATTGTTGGACACCCGAAAACATGTTCTTGAGGGTTGACAGGGTCAGTGATATGTTTTGTCCTTCAGGACATGAAGAAGATGCTCACCAAGGCTGGTGGAAGCGAGGAGCACACGGTCTTCCTCTTCAGTGACACCCAGATCAAGGCCCAGCGTTGAGTGTTGTGTATTTTTCGAGGGTAACACTGTTGGGGCTTGCCAACAGGATTCCACCCATTGTTGGGGTCCCCTTATTTGGATTCATGCGTGTCGCCTATGGTACGCCTAGTTTGTACACGGGGAGAGTGTACAGCCCACAGGCAGTCCAACAACTGGTGGTATCAGACATTCGCACCATCGGATGCCCGCTGTCGTCAAGTAGGGCCAAAGTATTACATGGCAAACCAAGTGAAGTAATCGAAATTTAGTTGGGGGCGTTCCCAACTAAAAGCAGATGCAGCTGTCTTTGGCGCACAATATTTTTACACTGCAGTTTGACTATGAGTCACTATGCTGCAACCTGCTGGCCAAATAGATGCAGTCAGCAAACTCAGAGTCGCTCGGGAGGAACAAATGCACACGTCAGAAGAACGCGTCGTTGTTCCGCATGATGGGTGTGTAATCGCCTGCCTAAAGGTGTTCCATAATTTCCCCACTGCCAGTGGGCAGGTCAGTTTGCGGTTTTCTTCCGGCAAAGTCAATGCAGAAGCTCGACTTGAAGCGCTCCTGGCCGCGGAGTGTTTTTGTTTTTGGCCAGGATGAAGGCTTCGTGGAGGATGTGAACAACTTGCTGAACACCGGCGAGATCCCAAACCTCTTCCCGGCTGAGGAGCTCGCCGGGTAGAGCTATAGGTGTCCTTTTCGCGGGGTTGAACATAGATGGCACTGGTTTCAGGTTTCTAGCCATTCATCAGCACTGAGTTTGTCCAGCCGTCAGACATGGGTAAGTGTGTAGACTAGCGACCGACCCTCAATTTGGTTCAGCCCAGAAGAGCCAATGCCACCGAGAATGCACCGAGGGGTGTCTGGTGTTTTAAGCTGGGCCGAAAGCCAGGGCGTTTTCCGTGTATGCTTCTTGTGAGGCAGCAGGCGTCAGGCTTCACGTTCTTGTGCTAGTTATTTGCCAGTGGGACTCAGTGTCACAGCATCATAGACATTTCTTCATACAGTCCTTGTGACTCTGCTGCGACACCAGATTCATATTCTGATTCGCCCAAGTGCCGATTCGTTTGTGCCACCCGACGCGGCTGCGGAAAGCCAACAGCCCCAAGTCGCGTCCGCCAGGAGCGGGTGGCCATTTGTGAGGTGGTCCGCAAGGCGGCGGCAGAAGAAGGCAAGGCGCCCGTCGGAGCCTGAGAGATTTGGCATGGAAGCCATCGGCCTGCAATTGTCCCGGCTGTGAACCCAGGGACCCTTTCCTTTCAGACAGATGTCACGCCGCTTTGAATCCTTTTGTCAGCAAACAGCCTGAGGGCCAATTGAAGAAAGCCGTTGAAGGTGTGGGTGATGTTTGACCTGGAAGAAGTTGGTCAACTCCCGCAAATGCTATCCTTCTGCAAAACATATCTTGCCCCGGCTCCTTTTCGGCTTTAGCCATAGCTTCGGTGCCCCATGTCTGGCATCGATTGGCTGGCTTGTCAATGTGACCGGCAAAGGCAAGTGTGCAGCATGGAAAATTGACGGCTCTCCTGTCTGGCAGTCTTGTCATAGCTGACAGGGGTTGTTTAAGCTGCATTCCCAGTTATTTGTTTCAACACTCAGCATATCATCACGCATACATCCCAAAGAAACAACATGGGTTCAACCACCGCCTGGATTCCACGAGAGCCCCCCCAATAGATTCAAAGGGCCCTGTCGAGGCTTCTGGGTCATCTGCCTGGTGTCTTGGGGCCCACAACCCCAAAACGAAAACCCAGGGGACCTGAAGCAAAACGAACTCGTGGCTCGGTGCCCCTCTGAGTCGGGTGCACCCACCGGCCCCCGCCGTTCACTCGGATGGCCTTCCCGGAGCTGCTGCGGCAGTGTCTGGCGCCGAAGGAGCGGGGCGCCGCGGAGGGGCGGCTGCTGGAGCTGAGGGCAACGGAGCCGGCGCCGCGGCGGACAAGTCGCCGGGGGTTGGGTCGGTGGGTTCGGTCGGTGGGGGTCGGTGGGTTTGGTGGGTTTGGGGAGTTGGAAGTTTTTTTGGGGGGGAGGTTGTTCCGAGCTGTGGGACCAAGGTGGAGGTTTCCCTCTGACCGTGGGCCAGATGGAATTATTTTTCGGAGCGACGCTGATGGGTTGTGAAGCCAACGGAAACCAGGGCGCCAGCTTTTAGACAATTCCGCACAACAAGCAAGCTCTTGGGGCAAATACCATGAAGGTCCTTCACTAGGGGTATACCTGATGTCCCCCCAAGGTGGGTGGAGTTTTGGGGAAATGTTTTTGGATGCTTTTTGTCCGTTTTGCTGGACATGGGCAGGAGTGGTGAACACCCGATTTGTGTGTGTGTCACTTTGGGCAAAGGCGAGTTTGCGCAGTCAGCATCAGCATCAGATCCAGGAGATCAGCTATCCAAGCCATAACTCCTCAGATCCAGATTATAGGTCAACGCTTAGCTCAATTGTCCACCCACCCACCCACCGATTCACCCACCCACCCACCCAACCACCCAACCACCCACCCACCCACCCAACCAACCAACCAACCAACCAACAAACCAACCAACCAACCAGCCAACCAGCCAACCCACCACCCAACCAACGGAGGGGAAAACCCGACTGAGGCCCAGTTCGCCGTGGGCTGTGCGCAGGCGCTGCAAGATGCACAGCTGCCCGCGGAGGCGGAAAGGGGGCGGCGGTAGAGGTTAAACTTTGGATCCGACCGAAACAAGATTTGACTCCCATCCTAGCAGGGTTCATTCGGAGAAGGCATGCCTGATGTTCGGTGAGCTCATACTTGCCCATGATGAGGCTGTGTCACCTGGCCCCTTCTTACCCGCAGGATCCAGGGATTGCCAGCTGCCCCTTTACCACCCGTTCTGGGCACGGGTCCTCCGTGGCAGCCGTGGCATTTGTCTTGGGCCAATTTCAAGAAACATGATATCATCATTGAAGTGGAAAATGAATACCATCATTGAATCATGCACGTTGGATGCCACTTTAAGCCATTGTGGTTCTTCAAGGACTCGATGCATGGTCGCTATTCATCTTGAGTCTTGAGGCAAGTCAATGAGATGGCTCACTTCATGCTGTTTGTGCATGTCGGCTCAGCTCGTGCCTTGGGTTCGATTTTATATTTTGGGGTTGGGGCTGCACCTGACTTGGTGCAGAGGCGCCGTCGTTCAAGAATTCCTGTGAGGCACAATCCAACCTGATAATCTGGTGTTGCAGGAAGCGCCACGAGACGTCAGGTGAAGGAAGTCCACAAGTAGTGCCTGTTTCTTTAGCCCACTTGCTTGCTTGCTTCCTTTTGATCCCACCTCGCTCAAGTCAGTCTTTGGATACAAACTGTCGCTTCATTTGTCTGCCACACCGTCGACTCAGCCTATAAGGCATTAAGCCACATGTTTCCTCGTGTATGTGTGTGTGGAATGTATGTGTAGTGGCCATGCCACCCCACAAAAATCACAGCTACCATCCGGATGTTCAATGACCTTCAATTTCAATCCTCCCGGCCGGTCATGCCTCCCTCAATCGCTTGCCTAGACAGTACTGACGTCGGTGCTGTTTGAGGACCTGAGAGAACATTGTAACCAGTGATGCAAAGAGCTAGCACGAAAGAACCTGGTCTCGAGGCAAATCAGGGTATGCTGCGGCATGCTCCACTCCTCAAGCCTTTGAAATGGCCGTCCATAGATGCCATAGATCATTCCCACAGAGCGGAACCCCTTGCAGCATTGCACGTGGACTCACCTTCAGGTGCGGCAGATGGCCGCGTGGTTGCTGCGGGGCGCGCTGCCCCTGACCGGCGCCGCAGCGGCGGTTCCGCTGCAGGCGGCCCTTCTGCAGGCGGGAGGTGACAAAGGCCAGGTCTTATCCTGGGCCTCCACGTCCGGCATGGGAAAGTTACAGGTCAGGAATGTCTGGAATGCCTGGAAATGGCATACGGCAGTCCAGACGTGTCCCAACGTCGTGCTCATGCGGCTGGCAAGAAGATGCAAATGCCGAGACGAAACAAAGGGCTGCAGCAAAAACAGCGATGTGCAGTAACTTGAGCATTTGTTCGTACCAACCTCAATTTTCCGGAAGACCCCAGAAATTGGACGTGCTGCACATGCAGGTGGTTCTGCTTTACTGCATGGTGACCTCTGTTCTTGCTGTGGGCCATCAATCTGGACTGCGAAAGCAATGGGCTCACCAAACCGAAACCAAAACCGAAACAAAGCCCAGAACCAAAACCAAACTCCGAACAGAAACAACAACAGCACTCCAAGCCAAACCCAAATCGGCCCAACCAAACCCAAGACAACGAACCACGCCCAAATCTCCGAACCAAGCCCAAAACAACGCCAAGAAAAAGAAGAAAAAAAACGCCAAGCCGAAACTCCAAAAGCCACGCCCAACTCGGCCCAATGTTTTTTTCTCCGCGAAACGGAGGCCTTGGAGTCCCCGGCCCTGTGCCGGGCCGCCGCGCTCTGCTGCGCGAAGATGCCGTGGCCCCAGCTGGTGCCGCAGCTCCTGCAGCTGGGCCAGCGAGGTGGGGGGGGTGGGTCGGGGGTGGTTGGGGGTGGTTTGAGTGGGGTGGTTTGAGTGGGGTGGTTTGAGTGGGGGGGTTTGAGTGGGGGGGTTGGGGGTTTGAGGGTTTGAGGGGGGTGTTTGGGTGGGGGGGTTGGTTGCTGGGGGGTTTGGGTGGGGGTTGGCTGGTTTGGCGGACATCCTGAAGCACTACAGCTTGTCACATGGCCGGTTTGCACGCCATTCTTTTTCAGGAATGCAACACGGCAGGTGTTAGAATGATAGGTTGGCTGGATATGTTTTGCTTGGCTAACTTCTTCTTGGTGGAGGCCATTTGACCAACAACCCATGGCCAACCCGGGCAACCCGTGAGAGAACTGGATGGAATTTGGTGCCGAACACCGACATCGTCTCAAGTGACTGGGAGTGTACATCGCTTGAATCCTTTGGGGGCAAATCTTGCAGCTTCCCCACGCACAACGTCTTTTGTGCATCCGAGGTAACTGGGAGCAATGCTCTTGTCAACCCTTGAGGGCTTCGACCCAGGAGCTGATGCTCCACTTCCCGGGCTAAATCGCATTGCAGTGGCGACAAGGGGAACCAAGACTCGTTGAATTAGTTTCGGACACCTGAAACAACCGATGCTTGCATGCAACATGGATCAGTCAGATGATTTGCATACTTTACCGGCGGACTGGTTTGTCGCTTTGGCCAGCTTTGCCCAGCTTCGGTAAGTTCTGCCATTTGGTTGGGATGTTGGATTGTTTTTGTTGGGATTTGGGTCTGCTATTTGAAGAAATGTGCGGTTTCTTGCTGCTGTTCCTCTTGTTTTTCCCTTCGTTGGCTCCCTACTTCAGGAAATCCTTTAGATTGGTTTGGTTTGGTTTGGTTTGGAGATTTGAGCTGGTTCTTTGAGTGGGAAGCTACCCCCTCAAGCAAACCAAACCAAGACCAAACCACCAAGAAAACCACCAGTCTGAGGGTTTTGTATTACACCCTGGGATTACACCCTTGGGAAATGACCCAGGATGGTTCAAAATAACACAGGCTTATCCGGAAATGTGCCTAAATGGGGTCAATACTACTTACTATGTTTCTACGGTTAGGAGGTCACATAGTGACAACTGCTAGGGTTCCCTATACTGAATTTTCCCAGGGTGTTACACAAAAACCCTTAGACCCAGGCTGCTTCTCTTCGGCGTTGAGAAATCAGCTCCCAGGCTTTGGCAAGGAGGCGCTCAAGGCCATGGCGCTCCTGGCGGAGGAGGGTGCCGCTTCGTCGTCCTCCGCGGCGTCCATGGCAGAGGCGGCTAAATGACGACCTCGGCCGCGATGCCGACGAGCGGATCTCGCGTCCCAAGCTGGGCAGTTCTGTTTTATATCGTGTCCCCTTTTTTCCTGTTTTTTTTTCTTTTTCTTTTTTCTTTTGTTTTTCTGTTTTTTTGTGCTTTCTTTGGGAAAACAAGAAGGAGGGGGACACCGGAGAGTTCGGACTTGCTGTTGTGGAATGAATTTTATGGGGGGTGAAGAGTTTGGACACTTTCAGGATCATCTTGGGCAGTGAGGATCCGGTTCTCAGACCGGTACCAAAATCGGCCACCGCGGAAGGTTCCTGGTCTACGGCTTCATGCGTCAAAAGCTTTGAGCTTGTGGTGTCTTTTGTTTTTTGTTTTTAACATAATGTTTGAGTTGGTTGTACGTCCAAAGCCAAAAGCCGTTGCCTTGTCGATTTGGCCATGGCCAGAACATCCGAGAACTGAAGCCGCTTCCTCTTGACATGACATAGGTTGAACACTGGTTTGACTTTGGCTCTATAGCACTTTCGCCCAATTTCCTAACTCATTTGAGGAAGCAATAGGGTTTTTTTCCTTTTGGGCCCAACCAATATTCCAAGCCATTTGAGCATTTTAGCTCTGTTAAAGACTCGTTTGAACGTGGAGCCCCAGTCATTCGACCGACAAACCGGACGCGCCAATTTCCTCGGCGTCTCTCGCAGGCGGCGCTGAAAGCCCTCCAGGCCCCGGACCTGGCGACGCGCCTGGCGGCAGTAGAGGCGCCCAGTCGATTTCGGGTGGAGGGACGAGGGCCTCAGGAGCAAGGGAGTCTCCGATTCTACCAACCAGAAACTTTAGCAAGATTGATTGGGAAAACCGGCAACAAACGCGACTAGGGTATGCGTATGAACGTATAGCCCGATCAAATCCATGCAAGATAGAAACATCGGCGCGGTTTCAGCTTGTAGTTCTCAAGATGCTGATATCCTATGTAAATGTCGAAACGGCGTATACCTTGGCTGTTTTGTTTCTTCTTTTGTTTCATTCTATATATTGAGATATTATTGCTCCTCCGGTCTTGGAGGAGGGGCTATCGTTGTTTCTAACTACTTCGTTCTAGAGGATCATCACTAAATGAGAATGCTCGAGCAAGTTCCGAAGGTGTCTCAAGTACCATCCTTCGGCCTTGGGATTTGGGACAGGGTATTGATAAGCCCGGCTTCGTCTCACAGGCGCTTACCGCTTTGCTCCCCAAGGCCGCTGGGTCTGAGCAGGCCAGCGATGGGGATGGGCTGAGGGCCTGATACAAATGTTCATATGTCAGGCTCCGACTACTGCTTGCGTATCTAGGTTCGTGGTTGCTCAAAAAACATTCTTGAGCTCTCAGGTTCTGAGTCGTGTGTTCATGCTGTTCTAAATAGTGCAAAGATCTTACTTAGATGCCCCGAGGTCAATGGACACGGGTTTTTGCCACGCTGTCAGAGCGCGATGGTGTTGTGTTTTGCATTGAGGTTCGGCTCTCTTAGGATGTCTATGAAACCTTGCAAACTGGTTAGTCGCAGGGGCTCTTCTTGTCAGGCGAGGGAGGTGCGCGTTGTTAGCTGGCTTGCTCCTCGCTTTCTTGGTTTGCACTCTTATCTCATTGCAAATGACAGTCCTCCCAGTCAGCAGAACATTGAGCTTTTGTTTGCAGCTCAAAGGCCAACTGCGTTTTCAACGTAGGCTGCTCAGGTCTGACTTCTCGCCCGTTCAGACAATTCCCCCACGATTTCCTCCTTAGAAGGCGATCCGCAGCATTTCGATGTTTGGGGCGTGCGAGGTCGAAGTATCCTTCTTAAAATGTTGGTCAAGGCTGACCAAACGTGCAACACCTGTGCAATGAATATGTCTTTTGCACTTCACCCAAGGTTTCTTTCTTTAAACGCTAAACGGAACAGATAAAAGCGACAGACATTCTGTCCATCTTTTTCTTTCAAAGGGCAAAGAAACGCTTTCCCACCACCATAGAGTTGGCTAGTCTTGATTCCATTCGATCCTTTGAAAGCCATTGCTATGGCTCGGACAAAGCCGTTACATCGTGCCTCAGTTGCTCGGTGGCACCAATCCTTTTCCCATCTCTACATGGTGGGACCGAAAGCGCCGAATCTTCCCCCCCTTGCCCGATTGGTACCACCAACCGCATGGGCACCTGACCTTTCCTTTCCCCCAGTTCTCCATGAAACCGCAAAAACAAAAAAAAGGAACCACGTGGTCCTTTTTGCGACTTCCATTTGGCTAAGACTATGTTCTATTTTCCCCTGTTGGCTTTAAAGGGAATCTATCACTACTGCAAACATATGTTATTTTTTTCCAGGGGACTTCAGCAGGGCTCCTGAACAGATACATTTTGCCCATTTGAAACATGGCTTTTTCCACCAACAAATATAGGGACACCTCCATTTACAAGGCAATTTTCGGGTGTAAAATGCAAGGATCCCTGTATTAAGAAGCAAATGGAAGAGCCCGATTTGAGTAGATGAAGCTGGGACAGTCCTTTTGCCAGTTTCTGGGTGCCTTTAAGCCAACGGCTGGGTCGCCGGACGGGCGCCGGACGGGCGCCGGACGTCTCGGCCGGAGGCGGTGCTGGCGGCGGCGCTGGGCGCGGCGAAGGCCTCGGAGCTGCGCCTCGAGGCGCTCAGCGGCCCGGCCAGCGGAGCGGAGAGGCGGAGAAGCGGAGGCGGAGGCGGTGAGTAACCCAAAGCGGTGGCCAGGGGGTTGGGGTTCTATGTGTTTCTTTTCCTTTTTTTCGGGTTCGGCTGAAGCTAAGTGGAAACAAATCTATGTGTTGGGGTAAACCTTGAGTGCTTGTTCCTTGATTGGTTTTGGATGCCCGTACGGGCAACCTAAGAAGGAAAACAACAAGAGACTGCTGAGTTCTGGGGAGCGATTTGGTGGTGAAGCAGGACTTGGGTGAAACGCCAGAGTTGGAGATTTCAGGACATCAGAAAAAGAAGTGGGGACCGTTCGGCAGTGGATGAGGGAGGGGGTTTGGGGGACGCGGGGACAATGTGCTTTGTTGCAGCGAAGTATTGGTTGACCGGAGGACGTAGTGCCGAACTGACCCAGCTTGAATCGAGACTCCGCACGTGATGGATATCCGTTGATTGCTCTCAGACCCCCATTACCATCGAGAGAGGGTTCGACTTATTGACGTTGTGAGTGTTGTGGTTGGCTGTGTTTGTCAGGTTTGACTGACATCCAACATTGACCCCTGCCCCATGGCTGGGTTGTGCTTAAGACAAGACGGATTCCATGTTTGAATGGAAGGCCGCTTTTAGGCTACCAAAGAGCCTACATCATAGTCAGCGAATCAAGCTGCGAACAAGGAGTATCACGCTGTGCTAGCATATCCTCTTGCAATAGCCTGTTGACTTTGCACATTTGCATAAATCAGGAAGTGCTTTGGGTGTGAATGCTGAGAAGTCAGCCACTTTTGCCAGTACCGCAAGAGTTGGGTTGGGCAGAATAGGTCCGGGTGAATCGTGGCAACCTCTTCGGGGGGCAGAAACTTGTCTCGGCGAAGTCTCATTCTAGGCCGGTGGATGACAGCGTTTCCGTTTTTGGATTCTCCATGCGGTGTGACAGCAGTCAGCTGCGTAAGGACTGCTGGAGGTTTGCGCACGGGAGTGCTACGACGTCATCTCAGGAAGCGACTTACAGCAGCCGCTCTACTGCAACGCCCCCAGATTCTAGAAACATGCGCGCAGTTGCATTCCTTTTTATTGAATTGCGACAAGCTCGTATTACCTTTTCCAACAAAGCACAAGCTACCCATAGCATCCTAGAACAGCTTCCCACTGGCTTTGCCACGCCCTTGCCCACCATACTCTGGATGGCCAACATCGACTTCGCACCAGTTGGGCTGGATGGAACCCTCTGAATACCGGGATAAACGACTTTCCAAATGGTGCAGGACTGGTTCATGTCAAAGGATCCCCGCCCCCTCAAAAATGGAATTGGGGGAGGGGGTGACCCCTGAAATTCCATTTATGGTTCCATTTTCCCTTTGATGAGGAAGAGTAGATAAATGGAATCGGGGGACACACCCTCTCCCCCCTAAGGTAGAGGGATTTCAAAGGGGCATATGTGTTGTCCACATAGGTGGCCTTTTGGAAAAATAGATGGCCCTGGTAAATGGAATGAACCCCATCTAAACCAGGGCCCTTTATGTTGTGTGTTTTGTTCACGTGTCGTTTCATCATGTGGCAAAGCGGCCGAATGGCCGTTTGGCTCAAGATTTCAACCTCCCGTCAGGGCAATCTCGGACCCACGTGCACCCGCCATAACACGGCGGCACTCTTCGTCCCCGAGGTGAAAACCGTGGGGCTGCGGGGCGCCGGTGTTAGGAGGTAGGTGGTCGGTCGTCGAGGTCATCCTGGGCTTGATTGACTTCTCTACTTTTGCAACCTATTTCCCAACCTCCCCAAACACCGTCTTTTTCCACCGTCACATCCTCAACCCGGTCATCATCCACAGCTTCACCCGAGTTGTGTTTCCGGGTGCTTTGGGTACATTGTGATCTACCTTGTGCTCATTTGCTTCCCTGGGCTACTTCGTGTTCGCCCAAAACCGCAGGTTATCAGCCGTACCAGCTAGAAGCTGGGGCTGGTGATCCGGTTGCGGGACGTGACCCGCTACCTGCTCCCATCGCCTACTTGTACGAGCAATGGCGTCCCCCGGAGCTTCACATCGTGGGCCGGGCTTCGTGGACGACGAGGCCAACGCCCTTCGCGGCAACGCCGCGCCTGCTGCTCCCGGCTTAGACAGCCGGCTGTGGCCCATTCCCCCGATGGTGGGCGCAGAGCCCAATCCCGGGGTGATCACGGACGATTGGATCCTTTCTCAGGTCGTGTTTGATGAGGATGCGGAGGCCCCTATCCCGGCGGCAGTGCTTCAGATCGAGGACGGACCCCCTCTAGAAGAGGCTGAGGTTCCTCCAAATCAGGTGCCCTCATCGATTTCGCCTACTGTTCCGTTCGTGGCGCTCCAGATCGAGGACCGGGCTGTCCATCATGCTGCTCATCCGGAGCCGGCTCAATCATGGTCCCTTACATGGGATCAGTTTGACCAGCTCCTCGGCAGTGGATCGCAGGCTACACCGCCTGATTTCGGTCGGCTCGACTTTAACTCGGGTGCCCCCATATCGGTTGGGAATCTGGATTTTCAATCCCTTTTTGATGCTGATTGGAGGTCTCAGCCTTCCCGAATTGACAGATCTTTTGATGCCCTGCCTACGCATGAGCCTACTCAGGGTTTTCCTCATGATGGAGAAAATGACCCCATTGAAGATTTCTCCCCTTCTCATGTTGCAGGTTCGGCCCAACCCGAGGTGGGCAAACGGGCGATTGAGGATTGGCCGCAAATAGCTGGCCTTCCTCCCGTCTCAGGTTCATCCGACATTGACATCATTCACGATCACCCCAGTCCGGCGGATATGGACTTCATCCCTGACGCAGTATCATCTCACCTGTCAGGTACCCGCGACCGGAATGCGGACCGCTACAACGCTGGTCCGAATCCACCGCTTTCCTCAGGTACCCGAGGTCGGGATGCGAACCGCTACAACGCGGGCTCAAATCCGCCAAATCGGGCATCAAGTACTAATCGATCGGACGCGGGCCGCGAAACAGCAGGCCCAAATCCTTCCTCCACTTCATCAAGAAGCCATGCCGGTCTATTCGCGGCGTTCAATCGGCGTCAGACTCGAAAAGAGTCCGCCCCCGACGTCATCGACCTCGAAGAGCAGTCCAGCCACCGTACCAGTGATGGATCCGAGCAGGATACACCTGGTATTGGCTCTACTCCCTTCGACCTCCTCGACATCCCCTTCCATCAGCCACCCAGGAGAGGAAATGAAGATGATGAAACCATCCCTGGGATCCTTGATGTAATCGATGAGGCCGAGGTCACACCAGAGAGACGAACGACATCGCTCCCGCCGAGCCGCGTTGCCAAAGTACTTTCCCCTAAGCCACTCATTGGTGACGTTGCTCAACGGCTTGATCTCACTCAACCTGATCCAGATCAAGCTCAACTTCGCGGGTCGTCATCTTTTGATAACATGTCGGGACAAACCGGCACTGACTCACGAGCCACAAAGAGGAGCTCTGAGTCACCCGAGAGACGTGAAGCTGCTCTGCGATTGCGATCTAATCCCCCAGCTCATCACGATCCTATTGACGTTCCTATCCACTCTGCGGGGTCTGGGCTCAGCTCCAATGCCCCGATGTCTGAGAAGGAGACTGATGACGGGATTAACTCTACGCCCAGGAATCGGAGACCTGGACTTAGCACTGTTGCTCCTGGTCATGGAGGGCTTCCTTCAAATCAACCGGTCAACAACTCCCTCGTCCCCGCATTCTTTCAAATTGGAACTCCGGGCTGCACTCCCGACAGGGAAGAAAATAGGCGCGGAGATCATGACGCTGATAGTCGTCCTGCTCCGTCTGCTTCCACAAGTGGCGGCCATCCTGTTGCATCTGAGCTTCAACGACTGCTTCTCGCGATCCACAACGAGGTAAAGGGGTGCAAGGCCGAAATCCAGGGATGCAGAACTGAGATTCGTTCATGTAGGGATGATATCAACGCTTGCGTCGGTGAGATCAAGAAGATCAATAACCGTGTTGACGCCTTCGAGAAGAAGGTTGAATCATCTTTCTCTGCCGTTGCCGGAACTCTCTCAAAACACGAGGCCAAGTTCCGTGATTTCCACGAGTGGGTCGCCCGAAGCGAGAAGGAGATGAATGAGCGTTTCAAGATGTATGATGAGAGGTCTGACTCGATCGTCATATCCGCTGCTGAACTTCGCGAGCAGGCCGAATCACTTGAGAACGTCAAGGTCCAGCTCCTTAGGTTCTCTGAGATCGGGGCCCTTGAGGCTGAGGTTCGGAAAATCAAGGACGAAATTGAGGCGAACTCTCGCAGTGTCATCGACATTGAGGGAACCATCTCAAGGGAAAGAACCATCCGTGGGAACGTCGAGACGTATATCCAGCAGCTCGTTCCTGCGACCGACCTGAAGCAGTTCAGTGATAGGATGTCCGGAGCTCTCAATGAGAACTCACAGAAACAGGAGGAGTTCAAGCTTCAATTGTCCCGTATTGCTAGATGCGTCAAGGACCTTCATGACAAAAGCTTAGGCCCCAATCCGAGGGACATGCAAGAGCAGTTTATGAAGCTTGTGCTGAGGGTCAATGAGATCAACATGCAGATCGCTGAGTTGAGGGAGCAACCTCTTGCTGCCTGCGGGCCTTCAAGTGCTGGCGCTGCTTCGACCGCCGGAACGGGACCATGGGAGAAATCTGGAGACACTGATCCCTTAACCCAGGGAAGGGCTCCTAGAGATTCTCCCTCTCGTGATGCTCGCACCGTCAGCTCGGCTAGGCCTCCTCCACCTCCACCTCCTTCAGGGCCACCCCCACCGTCACCATCAGCCCCCATCTTCGGCAGGGATCCCTCTAGAACGAGGGCCATTGCTCGGGCTGCCGGCGCTGCCCCTGATAACCGGGCCAGGTGTGATCATGAGGAGCCCGGGCATCCACAGCATCGGGAACCTCGCTATCCATGCCGAAGCTGCGGCAAGTCAGTCTGCGAAGACTGCTTTGACCATGATTGTAACTCGTGTTTCAAGTGCAGCGATCAGTTTCCTAGATGCCGCGCATGCAGAGGAAGAGGGGGGAGACACGGACTTGTGAGGTGTCTCATATGCAAGGACGAGTACTGCGATCAACACATCGCCTCACCTGACGATGTGCGCCGTTTTGGATCGAGTGTTCGACCTATTTGCCTCGGTTGTCTGAGAGCTGACCCCGACGGGAAGACTAAGCATCGCGGTCCCAGTGCGGGGCCTGGAGGACCTGATTGCATTCCTGATCATAATCAGCGGGATGGCACTGCTCCTGATCCTGGATCCGGGCCATCACGTGGAGATCCGTCACATCGGAGTCCTGAACCGCACCAAGGGAATTCTGGTTTCTGTTCCCACGCCGGAGCTGCCGGGCCAATGCCACCAAGGGCAATGTCTTCGCCCGTAGTCGGACGAGCAGTTCCGAGGGGGACCATCAACACGTACCCCGGATGTTCCCCTACAGGGGGGATTTTCACCGGTCAGGTTGAGCATGGAACGTCTCAGGGAGTCATTCGCGGGAGATACGGACCTGACGCTGCTGTGACAAATCAGCAGAATCCACAGCCTCACCACGGAGCACAGGATAACTCTGGCGGGCCAGCTGGTTTTTCTCTTCCACCAGGACTCGGTAAGGGTGTGCATGGCGTTGGTGGCGTCGGCGGTATTGGAGCTCCCGATATTCGCCGATCTTCCGCTGAGGAGAGAGTCTGCCCTCGGTGCAACATAAATGTCAAGACCAGCATCCCCGGGACACCTCCATGTTTCCAAACTTGTTCATTGTGCCGCACTTCTCTATGCGCCGCGTGCTGCCCGCCATCGTCCGGGAGTTGCTCTCTGTGTGCCATATCCATTGGCAGAGACGGCGTTTTACCTCCCCATGTTTTTGGGCAGGCTACTCGACCGCCCTTAACTTCGTTGCCATCTGAGGCGAACAAGTGCGCCAACATAGAGCTCGAAAAAGAGCCCGCACCGCATGAGTTGCGAGACTGGATCATTTCCACGAGAGAAATCGTGAGCAACGCATTCAGCTATGAC